AAGGCACAGTAGGTGCATTGCGAGATAGTGTTTGTTAATAGCACAGTACCATGTGAAAAAATGCACAACAGTGGTGTGATTGGGCCCTTAACCAATGTACGTAAACATCAGTATTGTGTAAAGCTGTGATGTTTGGGGATATTAGCACATATGGTGAACACTATAAGGATGCAGTCCATTCGCAATATATCTTCTGCTTAAGGGCCTGGTAGCCAACTTTTATTTAACTGAAATCCACATTGGATACCCTCGCAGGGATTGTTCAGTGCAGCATCCATGCAATACTTGCAACATAACACAAGTATAGCCTCCTGGCTTTCACTTTCAGCATTAATAATTCTGACCCACCGGTCCTCTCTGTAATGCTGTCCTGCACTTGTACTGGTGGCCCCTCTTAGCCTCACTAGTTCTTCCAGCCTCCCTGGCTGTCTTCATGTGCCTCCAGCACACACTACCTGCCTCCACTTTAACTTCTGGGGGGAGTCCTCCTGACTCAATAACACAGTCTGTTCTAATTTCCAAGCAGGAGCTAATTCCCCTAGTCAGCATCCTTTCCTTAAGGGCTGTGCACACCTGTGAAATCATCGGGTGCTGGTCACTGCTAAACCCTGGACCCAGGACTGGAGCTTTCTTCCCTCCTGAAATCTCCCAGTTCCAGGATCCCAAGCAGAATCCAGACAAACCCTTGCTTCCTGACACCTCTCAGCCCCTCTGGCTGAGAGTCCTGGGGGTTCATAACACCCAATTCTACAATGGGATTACTACACAATACCACAATATACAGCCCCAATTCCAGAAAAGTTGGGACGCTGTGTAAAATCTACATAAAAACAGAATGCAATGATTTGGAAATCTCATAAACTCATATTTTATTCAGAAAAGAAAATAGAAAATATATCAAATGTTTAAACTGAAAAAATGTACAATTTTAAGAAAAAAATAAGGTAATTTTGAAATTGATGGCAACAACACTCCTTAAAATAGTTTGGACAGGGCCATGTTTACCTCGGTGTAGCATCCCCTCTTCTTTTAACAACAGTCTGTAAATGTCTGGGAACTGAGGAGACCAGAGTTTTTGGAGAGGAATGTTGTCCCTTTCTTGCCTGATATAGGAGTGTAACTGTTCAACAATCCTGAGTCTTCTTTGTCGTATTTTTCATTTCAAAATGTGCCAAATATTTTCAATTGGTGAAAGGTCTGGACTGCAGGCAGGCCGGTAAAGCCCACGGACTCGTACTACGAAGCCATGTTGTTGTCATAGATGCAGTTTGCGGTTTAGCAATGTCCAGCTGAAATATGCAAGGCCTTCCCTGAAAAAGACGGCCCAGAGAAGACGGCAACTTTTCTGGATCATGTTCAAATATGGCTTCTTCTTTCCATGATAGAGCTTTAAGGACACAGGGAGGACTTTGGAAGTATTCCTTAGCCCATTTAGTGATGTCCATCACAGAATCATGCCTGTTTTTAATGTAGTGCCGTCTGAAGACTCGAAGATCACTGGCATCCAATATTGTGCTTTGGCCTTGTCCCTTGCGCACAGAGATTTCTCCAGATTCTCGGGATCTTTTGATGATATTATGTACTGTAGATGAAGATATATTTAAAGTCTTTACAATTTTACATTGAGGAACGTTATTCTGAAATTGTTCAACAATTTTTAGATGCAGCTTTTCACAGATTGGTGAACTTCTGCTCATCTTTACTTCTGAGACACTCTGACTCTCTAAAGGTGCCCATACACTGTGCGATTATCGCACGATAATCGCGGGAAATCCTGCGATCGTACGATAATCGCAAAGTGTATGGCCGGCGTGTGACTGTTTTTACTGTACGGTCGCACGTCTTTTGTCTAAGGAGCATGTACGAAAGCCAGCCAAAAATCTTACGATTTTCGGCTGGTTTGTGGCGTGCTCGGGAGACAAATGCCGAACGGGCCGGCGCACACTGCCCGTTCAGCATTGCGGTCATCGGAAGCCTGCCCCTCAGTTAGGCGGGCTTGCGATGATCGCAAGTACGATCTGCCTGTCCAAGATGGGCAGATTGTACGTTTTTTTAATTACTTTACAACCATTGCAAGACTAAGGTCTTGCGATGGTTGTAAAGTGTATGGCCACCTTTAGATGCTCTTTTTATATCCAATCATGTTACTGACCTGTTGCCAATTAACCTAATTAGTTTTAAATGTTCTTCCAGCTCTTCCTTGTTAGTACCACTTACTTTGCCAGGTTTTTGCTGCCCTATCCCAACTTTTTTAGACGTGTTGCTGCCATCAATTTAAAAATTACCTTTTTTTTTTTTAAATGGTACATTTTCTCAGTTTAAAAATGTTATATGTTTTGTATTTTCTATTGTGGATAAAATATTAGTTTATATGAAAAAGTAATTAGTAAAAGTAATAAAATAGTCCTTTTGCGCAGCAATTTAGACATGCGGATATACAGATTATTATGACCACCCAATCAGTACTTCGTTGGGCCACCTTTTGCCTTCAATACTGGGGTGATTCTTTTTGGCATTGACTCCACGAGATGTTGAAAGGTGATGCGAGGAATCTGACACCATGCCTGATGAATAGCACTGTCCAGTTCTGTGAGATTTGATGGTTGTGGAACCAGCTGCTCTTTCAACTTCGTCCCACAAATGCTCAATTGGATTGAGATCTGGTGATTGTGGGGGGCCACCTAAGCAAGGTAAATTCTCCCTCATGTTCTTGAAACCACTCCTGCACAATACGAGCACCGTGGCATGGCGCATTGTCTTGTTGGAAGAAGCCATCTCCATTGGGATACGCCATCATGATAGGATGAACTTGATCAGCTTGTTGTGCTATGCAGACGTTGTTCCACACAAATTAAAGGGCCCAAATCATGCCAGGAAAACATGCCCCAAACCATAACCCCGCCCCCACCAGCTTGAAGGGTTGTACTCATGCATGTGGGGTGCATGCTTTCATGCTGTTCCCGCCAAATTCTCACTCTGCCATCTGCATGATGCAACTGGAAACGTGATTCATCGGACCACATGACTTTTTTCCAATGCTCGACTGTCCAATCCTTGTGTTCCTGTGCGAATTGGAGACGTTTTATCTTGTTAACTGCAGACAGCAAAGGTGTTCGAACAGGCCTTCGGCTTCCATATCCCATACAATGCAGTGTACGGTGAACAGTGCGTTCAGAGATCATTTGAGAGGATCCCTGATTAAGATCTGCAGTCATTTGATGCACTGTTGCCCTTCTTTTGTCCTGTACCAGTCTTGCCACTCTCCCTTCTGCCCTAACATTGACTAGTCGCTGACGGCCACAATTCGCACGTTCAGACCCAGATTTTCGGCTGACAGTCCAGTCTTTAAACACTTTAAAGACAGCTGCTCTTGAACGTTTAATGAATTCTGCTGTTTTGCTGATACTCACTCCATGGCTCCGAGCGTCAACAATCATCCCACGTTCAAAGGCTGTTAAATTGAGTTGTTTACCCATATCTTCTACTGTCATGATAAACAACCTGCTTCCCTATTTATAATGGACTGGCCCTCTAGCAACTTCAGCGCGAAATTATAGCTAATTTGCCTACAAACGTCAGGTGGTCATAATAATCTGGCCACTCAGTGTATACTGTAGTAATGTAGGAGCATGATAAAAACTGTTTTACAGCAGTGAAAGACAGAAATAAAGAGAACCGTCACTAATGTGAATCACTGATGTGAATCGGTGGTGGTTCTCTTATGTAGAGGGCAGCGTGTTTGTCGCCAGTTGTCTATCTATCACATTACTGATGTTTACAATACTACCATATGTATTACATTGCGGGTGAATCAATTACTGTAATCTAAAACACATGTAGCAAGAAGATTTACCTGCACTGAATGTTTGGTGCAGCATTTAGTATGTTAAAAAAAACAGAAAGAAAGCAATATATATTACTATATGTTACCCTGTTTTGTTTTTTTTAGTGGTCATAACAGGTATGCAGATTCAGGGACTCGAGGACAGAGATCTCAGCAATAGAAATGTCAGTTTTGGATAGATTGACTATTTAAAGTGAGCTGCAATAAAGATTATGGGGTTGATTTACTAAAGGCAAATAGGCTGTAAGGGAATTTGCACTTTGCTGGGGAAGTTTCCCTTTAGCTTGGTGAATGTGGTGAAATTTAACTTTGGAAAGAATACCCAATAATGTGCAAGGAAAATTTTAAAAAAACAGTATTTTTGCTTACACATGATTGGGTGATGGAAGTCAGCAGAACTTCCCCTCATTCACTAAACTAAGGTGTAACTTCCCATGCAAAGTGCAAATTACTTTTGCAACCTCTACAGCCTTTTTGCCTTAATTAAATTGACCCCTGTGTGTATGAGTTTCATCTTTATATGAGATACAGAGAGATGGGGAAGGATCATAGTTGTTAAATGCCACATTTGAATACAATGTAAGCAATATTAAAGATGACCTTAGCGAGGTTCAAGACGCAGCAGGAGAGGTGGAGGAAGCACAGATTCACAGAGTAAGTGACATAGGAGCAGGGAGATCCGTGCACTACAGGTTTTCAGGTGCAACTTCCTCTCCCAGACAGCCCTCAAAAGAACAATGAACAACACAGCAGTGACATCACCAACTGCCACGATAGGAGGAGACTTCATATCTCCTGAGAATAGCAGTTATCAGAAGGAGGAGTGTGTGAGACATACCTTAGATGATCTCATTCTGCAGACATGTAGCTATGAGGCTGTGGAAACTGGATTGCCTTGGCAATGTCACATGTCAGGATATGCACTGCAACGTTTCATGAGATTTTTAAGGCAAAAGGTCGATTTTTTTAAGGCGCTGCTAAGCAGCAGTTAACCCTACTATAAACTTTTACCTAATTTTTTAGGTATCAGTCCTGTGTAAAAATTGACTATACAAGTAAAAAACACAATTATTAATACTGAGGCTAACAGATAAATCCTGTGCATTTTCTGTGTAATAATCTTCAAGTTCTAAATCTATTGTTATCTTTCACACAGAATTTTGAGATATCATAAGGTCATCTAGAACAAAAACAGAAAATGCCAAGTGGAAACTTTTCAAACTGCAGCAGACCATTTGATTTTCAGCATACCCTATATGCCATCACTTATACAGCCATCTTCATACCTGGCCTGCTCTCTAACAGTGTTGCTTTATGGGTTCTCCGAAGTTTTATCACCAAGAATAACAAGGCAATTATCTTCATGATCAATTTGGCAACTGCCGACCTTGCCCACGTCTTGTCGTTGCCTCTACGGATTTATTACTACATAAATCACTCATGGCCATTTAAACACTTTGCCTGCTTGTTGTGCTTTTATCTTAAGTACCTGAACATGTATGCAAGTATTATGTTTTTAACACTCATCAGCGTCCAGAGATATATCTTTACTGCAAATCCTTTCAAAGCCAAAGACTGGAAAAGAAGGTATGATGTTGGAATCAGCATATGCGTATGGGTAGTGGTTGGCACTGCATGCTTGCCATTTCCATTATATAGAAGCTCTGGAGGAAATACCTCAACCACCAGTTGTTTTGCTGACCTTGGTAATAATCAGATTAACATGGTTACCATGTCTGTCATGCTGATTTTTGCAGAACTGTTAGGTTTTATTATTCCTATGACTGTCATTACTTACAGCTCCCTAAGAACAAGGACACAACTCAAACTGAATTCCATGCAGAGCATGAACAGGAAAGGAAAGGACAAAGCTCTTCGGCTGATAATAACATGTGCTTGTGTGTTTTTTATTTGTTTTGCGCCATACCATATTAATTTCTTCTTTTATGTAATGGTCAGCACAAATGCTATCCAAAACTGCACAGCACAAAAAATCATCCTGACTTTTCATCCTATTTCTATTAGCCTAGCAAGTTTAAATTGTTGCTTGGACCCAATCCTGTATTTCTTTACAGCATCAGAGTTTAAGAGTGAGATGGCTAGACGTAGCTCTTCCATGATCCATGGTCGTCTCATGAGCAGAGAAAGTGCTTCTTCTATCTGAGGCTGATGATAGATAAAATGTTAAAACTTTTTATTTATTGTAATATTGACTTCAAAGATGTCCCTGATTGTTTTGACTATTTTCTCATGACATGATGCTTTAAGTGCCTATTCACACTTTAGCGATTGTCTTACAGAATAATGTGCTTTGCGTCAAGGCAGCCCAATGATTTTATATAGGCCACCTTTGCACCACAACATTCATTGCCTGCTAATGTATTAGTGGTTTGGATGCCGTTCAAAATCAACGACATTACAATACACAGCACCATGGTCCGAGGGCTGCTGTGTGTTGTGGTAACATAAAACATTTTGGCTGGAGTTAGGCTTTCAAGGTAGTCATATGTGAATGCATTTTCTTTTTTTTTTAAGCATGTAATTGGAATCTTTTAAAATAAATATCCATGTTTTTATTTGAAAAGATCAGTTCAGAACACAATCTAGATTGGATCTAGATTAAAAACACATGATGTTAATCCAGAGTAGACAGAATCCATTCAGAAAAGGTCAAAAGTCTGCCTCTGTTTAACCTACTCCACCTTCCAACCTCTACCATGCTTCCACAACTGCGCTGCAATGTGCAGGTAGGACTCTGCTGTGAAGTGGGGGGACTGAGAACTGCTCTGCTGTGAAGGGGGGGCTGGGGAGGTCTCTGCTGTCAAGGGGAGGCTGGAATTTAGTGGGGGGGAGGCAGACATAATTTTTTACATTTACATTTTTTACATTTTAGACTGGGTGCTACTCAAAATTTAGCATATTTTTTGAGGGTGCTGTGACTGAAAAAAGGTTTAGAAATGCTGATCTAAAGAAACAGTGAATTGGAGTAGCTGTTTTGTTTGTCCTTATGACTAGGGCAAAGGGAGTCAACGAGAACAATCATACATTTTGAGGTTTACAAAGACATCCCCAAATACAAAAGATACTTTTTAGTGTATTGGTTTGTCACTGAAATATAAAATTGCATATGTAGTTGAACAGCAAACACATAATTCAAGAGTCCAGAACTATATTTTATTAATCCATGGATGTCCAAAAGGTAATGGAAAACCATGTTTCAGGGCCAAACAATTCCCTGTTTATCAGGGCTTTGACAACTGTCATATACATTTTGGAAACTAAGCCTGGATCAGTTATTCAGGCCCATCAGGAAATGTTTGCGTTGGGTAGCCATGCAGTGTTCATTGCCCAACACAGACATCCACAGACATCCACAGACACAGACACCCACAGACATTCACTGATGAGATCTCATATTCCCCTGGCTCTGAATAATAGTTAATCCAGGATTAGAGCCTGAGATTTACATGACGATTGTCAAAGCCCCCCCCAGGCACATTGGCTGTTTTTCGTTACCTTTTTGCCATGCGTGGATCAATAAATTACAGTTCTGGACTCTTGATACATGTGTTTGGCACCCTTTCTGGTTCAGTTACATGTGGTTTTCTCAAGCCGGGTGACCCCTATACTGGGAAGGCCCCTGCTGTGTGGAGAGCTGCTGAACTCAAGCAATTTGGGTCTAATTAAATACTTTTTATCTGTGAACTGAAAAAAAATGGGTCCAGTGCCTTGCCTTTACTTCTGCTTGGATTCATGTAAAATTGTATGACCATCTAGGCTTGATGAACAATCATTTCCATCCATGTACCTTTATACAGCCAAACAGTCATAGTGCTGGGAGGGTGAAAAAATAAAGAAAACGTTAATCTCTTAGATTGCCTCATTTGTGGTTAATATTGGACTTTCAGAACTGCCAAACATAACAATGGAAACATATTGATATGCACAGAGGTACAAGGACCTCAGTTCTACAGTGAGAGCAGTGAGTTTTATCAGGCCTGATACATTTATTTCATTATAACAGGGTGCCATAAGGGATATGTTACAAACTTGTTTCCTGTGATATGTAATGTTATTCATTTACTCCCCCTACACACACACACACACACGGACACATGCACTTGTGTATTTAAAGCTGAACTCCAGGCAGATATATAATGGTGAATTTTATTGGTATTATCCTCTTGCAGTATTATCCTATACTGAAGAGCTCAGAGAGATGGAGGTAAAAGCAGCACATGGAGCCAATCAGGTGTGCTGAAATGCAGGGGGCACATTAACAGGAGGATAGATTAGCAAGACAGAGAGATCAGTTTATGAGTCTTCTGCTTCTCGTTTCACTGTCCAGTCACAAGGTAGAGGTGGGGAGTAGACCGGTAAGTGAAAGTAAAATTGCAGCCAAGATTAGGTCCTATCCCCTGCCAAACAGCGTTGCAGTGATGTGCGGTACCTCTTGCTCCCCAGCCCCGCCCCCATCATGAAGCCACACCTCCTGTTGGACAAAGCCCCACCCCTGCCGGACAAAACCCCAAGCCATCCCCAAGCTAGTGTAAAGGAGGAAGGGAGGAGTCTCCCTGTCCCTCACTTGCTCCTCACTGCTGACGTGCTCCGTCCATGACAGGTTACACAGCGTGGAGAATTTCCCTGCAGTGTAACCTGTTAGATGCCGATCTGAATGGAGAAAAAGCTGTCAACCTCAGAAATGAAGCTGACAGCTTTTCCCTCCATAATTCTAGGTGAGGCTCTGCCTCACCTGCCTCCCCTGACCGTACGTCCCTGCAGTGTTGCGCCATGTGACAGGGATGTGTAACTCTCAGCACTGGATAGACAGAAATATAAATCATTTGGCAGGTAAAACTGCTCTCATATGTGTATTTTATATGTGGACTTTAGCATAGTGCTTCAACACAGGACTAAAAGCTGGAATTATATATTTTGACCATATATTTTGACTATTTCTTTAAAGTTCCATGCCTACGGCCAGCAGTTCATCCTTTTTTAATTTACCCACAGTTAAATTGATTCAATCAACAGAATCTACAAAATAAATATTGTTTCATCTAGCCCTTTAAGTCACCAATGATTGATTCATTCACTTAGACCAAAAAAAGGTATCTTAAAAATGCAGTTTTTGAATTGCTTTCTTCACGGCTTCTTTTACTTCTTGGTTTCGCAAGGTGTAAATTATGGGATTTAGCAGAGGGGTCACTACAGAGGGGATGATAGAAACGGATTTGTTCAAGTGAAAAGTATCATCAGCGGTAGGTCGTACAAACATGAAAATATTGGTGACATAAAACAGACAAACCACAATTAGATGAGCTGCACATGTTGAAAAGGTCCTACGTCTGCCATTTGAAGTAGTAAATGACATTGTTGTACGTATAATCTGAATGTAGGACATAACAATTAGCAGAAAACAGCCCAATATTACAAAACAAGCAGATATGAAAAATAACATTTCTACGCTAGAGGTTTTACTGCACGATAATTTGATCAGTGCTGCAAAGTCACAGTAATAGTGGTCAAGCTCATTCCCATAACAATATGAAAGATTTGCAACCTGTAAACAAAGAACAACGATAACCATAAAACCTCCAGCCCAGCAACTAATAAGAAGCTTCTTACAATTCCCTGGACTCATGATGACAAAATAGTGTAAAGGATTACAGATGGCTACATATCGATCATAGGACATTACGGTCAGGAGGAAACTCTCTGTCGTACCTAAGGAAAAGTGGAAATAGAACTGAGACATGCAACCGGCAAGAGAAATGTTTTGTTTCCTCATTAGTAAGGCCCAAAGCAGTGTGGGAGCGGTGACTGTAGGGTACCAGATCTCTATAAATGAAAGTCCACCAATAAAGAAGTACATGGGCTTGTGAAGACGTTGTTCAGTAAAAATGACAAAGATGATGAAGATATTAGCTGCGATGGTCACAATGTAAACAATGGATACCATGATAAATAGGCACAATCCTACTTCGGTTAACAACGAAAAACCTAACAGATGGAATTCTGTAATGGAAGTTGTATTCTTCACTTGCATTGCCAATATATGCCTGTAAGAAAAGTTATTAAAGATCACATAGGAGTATAATGAACTTAGGACTATTTATTCTTTTACCAAAGGCCAGATCAACAGCATATTTACAAGTATTCAATCCTATGCAATGAATAGATGCCCAAGGTTGGCACAAAAAATGCAAGCCCGGGTAAAACATAGGAAGGAGCGTATTCACGTCTCAGAGTTTTCATATTACTAATCATAATGCAACATATTTAGAGAATGAAATGTAGTACAGTACAAGCCATCCAAGGTTATTTCTGGAGTAGTTTTGTCACCAGCATTAATAGTAATGACACCAGTAATGTGGAAGAAAATATACTGGAGGGAATTTAGGAACATGTTTGCAACAAAATCTTTAGGCGTAAAGATCAAATGTAAAAAGTTTTATTTCTGTTATGCATCTTTTTTTTTTTCTTTTAAACATTTCTTTATTAGTTTTCATTCCATCAACAGATGAATAACACTATGCATCTTTTTTAAGTGTTCTTGCAACATATTAATGTTTGTAACTCCCTGTACATATTTTTTTTACATTGCACATAATTTCTCAATTGTTCGGTATTTGCGTCCAGCATTTGTGACTTAAAAGACATCCAAACTATTGCACACCCTAGAAGTGCCCCTGAGAACTTTTTAACCAACTCCCGTTCGCCGAACGTTGAATGACGGCCGAACGGGAGTGTCCTGGATGCGGGTGGGCGTCTTTAGACTCGCGCCCCCTGGCCCCATCTTTTATATTTTACCAAAAAATTGGGTAAAAATAAATGTTTCCTAAAATAATAAAGGGAAAAACCTTTTTTTTTTATATTCGGTACTTTTTTTCTTATATAGTAAAAAATAAAAACCCCAGTGGTGATTAAATACCACCCAAAAAAACGCTCTATCTGTCCCTAAAAAATTGTATTAAATGAATTTCAGTACAGCGTTGCATGACGGAATAAATGTCAGTCAAAGTACTGCAGCATTGAACACTGAAAAATGGCCTGGACAGGAAGGGGGTGTAAACACCCCAGTCAGCAAGTGGTTAAAGTGTTGCAAAGATAATTCACCTTCACATCCTCAAGTCAGGGACTATTCAGCTGTTATCCAGGAAGATACTTCAGAGACAACTAAGACAACTTCCCAGATAGCAAGGATAACTTGGAAAAAACTTGTGGTAGGGTTAAATTGTAATATTTGTTAACTTGCTGCACACATTCCTGGCAAGTTGTAGACTTGCAGAACACTTGCAGCACAAGTTCTATTTGACACTTTTTGAATTTGTAGCAAATTTGCTTGGCAAGTCTACAGCAAGAGTCCTGCAGGTCTTAGCAAGAGCTCTGCAAGTGTACAGCACTTTTGCAAAGCACGTTGATCTGGAGACTTGCAATGCAGCTGTAATTGTGCAACAAAATTGTGAAGCTTGGCAAGTCTGCAATACTTCAGCAAGTCATTTCCAAACTTGCAGCTCAATTGCTTGCTATCTGGGTTAGAGACAATTCTCAATATGAAAACATTTAGGAATGAAACTAGGATCATAAATCTGTCACTATATACACTAGAAATCAGGGATGAGACAGTTTAAAAGACCCTGATGATGCAACCAAACTGTTAAATTCTGCCCCATGAACAAGATAAAAGACTAGGACACAACACAAGACAACAATTGGTACAGTAGAAGAGCAGGAAGAACAACAAAATTGCCTTCAAGGGTCAATACAGTGTAGAGAATACACACTTTTTGACAACTCCTTTATTAACCTCTTGCCGTCCGCCCGTAGTAAAAAAACGGACGGACGGCACTGCTACATCTGCGAGTTGCCGTCTCCAGACGGCAATTTTTTTCTGCTCGCGCGCGCCCCGTAGCGGGCACGCACGGGCAGAAAAGACCCGACGATTAAACACACCCGTTACCGGGTGTTTCACATACAGGCGATCAGCGGGTCCATAGCCCGCCGATCGCCTAACTGGGGAATTAGAAATAATAGTCTACTTACCACATCAACTGAAAACAGTGTAACTTTTGATGAATCATAGAAAATCGTGTATCACCTGATTTACAACAAGGTCCTTTTATGAACACCAGCAGAATTTACAACCTCCCTCTGTAGTGTTACAGAGAGCTCAAGAGCATTGAATTCCCCAAAATACAGCCAAGCCAATTACATGAATTACCTCTATTAAAAGACAAGAAAAATCATCTCAGTTGGGGAATAAAACAAAAACTAATACAATTTACTGAGTTGTTTTATTAAGGTTACTTTGCGTATGTAAAAAAGTATAAATGTTTGATAGAACATTTTTCTTTGAGAGCATAATGCATTGTAAAGAAGAAGAATGGACACATTGGTTGACTGATGTGCAGATTACTATAATAAGAGAAAATGAATACTCCTAAATAAAAAAACTGTCAAAATATTAAATTTTTTTTTAATTAAATTTGTAGATAATATGTAACCTCACCACTGCACCTTAAAGGGAATGTACACGTTGTCAGAAGTGAATAAAATTAGAAACGAACAACCTACGTCAAGGCCAAACAATAAAACTAGAGGGGAACAAGAAGGATGTAAACTTTTGTTCCATAACAAGACAGGAATTAACTTTAATTAACATTGTATGTACACCAACGCTAGAAGTCTAGCAAATAAATTAGAAGTGCTTGAAATTATCATACTCGAAGAGGACTTCGATATAGTCGGTATAGCGGAAACCTGGCTAGACGGCACACATGATTGGGCTACTAATAAAGAGGGGTATAACCTGTTCAGGAGGGATAGATGTGGGAGAAGGGGGGGGGGTTTGCATTTACGTAAAACAATATCTAAATATGCATAACCTGAACATACTCACCAAGGTGAATCAGTAAAATCATATGAGGCGAGCCTGAACGATAATTGAAAAGCGGCTGCACAGATGTCTGTGTATCAGCACAGGACTCCTTTGATGACTCGTTTCCGGGGCCACGCCCCCTTCGTGCTGATACACAGGCATCTGTGCAGCCGCTTTTCAATTATCGTTCAGGCTCGCCTCATAAGGACTGGCAGAGTACCATGTGATTGGCGGAGGGCTACGGTAGCTCCAATATTCAAAAAGGGGGCTAGATGCCAACCTGGGAGCTATAGGCCGGTCAGTCGAACATCGGTAGTTTGTAAACTGTTAGAAGGTATGATTAAGGACTGTTTGGCAAAATTTGTTAAGGATAACAGCATAGTAAATGACAATCAGCATGGTTTCAGGAAAAGCCGTTCCTGCCTGACTAACTTGCTAACTTTTTATGAGGGGGTAAGTAGAGATATGGATGGAAGGAGGCCGGTGGATGTGGTATATCTGGATTTCTCAAAGGCATTTGATAGGGTATCACACAAGCGCTTACTTCACAAGCTGAGGGCTATGGGCAAAGATGAGGTGGTGTGTACGTGGATAGACTACTGGCTACGGAAACATGTCCAGAGAGTATCTGTTAATGGCAACTTTTCAGACTGGGCTAGTGTAATGAGCGGAGTGCCTCAAGGATCTGTGCTGGGTCCCATATTGTTAAACCTATTTATTAATGATATCGGGGAGGGAGTGTATAGCCATGTTTCTGTGTTTGCAGATGATACAAAAATAGGGAGGGTATTAGAAACGGACCTAGACAATATAACATTACAGGAGGACCTGGATAAAATAGGGGAGTCTGCAATAATATGGCAGATGAGGTTTAATGTCGATAAATGCAATGTAATGTACTTTGGAAATAAAAATAAACAAATGGGCTATACCATCAAGGGTATGCCGACGGGGATATGATTTTCATTTACAAGATGTTCAATGGTGACAGTAACATTGGCAATAAACTCTTTAAGATTAACTCCATTACAAAGACTAGAGGCCACCACCTAAAGTTGGTGGAGAACAAAATTCCAGCACAAGGGGCGAAGGGGGTTCTTCACAGTAAGAGCGGTTAGGGTCTGGAACTCACTGCCACCGGCAGTGATTTCAGCTAAGAGTGTAGAATTGTTCAAGAAACTTTTGGACGATTTCCTGAGGGACCGTAATATTCAGGGATACAAGTATTCCTAAGAATGAGATGATGCGCGGACCTATATGGGCTGGACATGATGGACGTATGCCTTTATTCAACCCCAAATACTATGTAACTATGTAACTACAGTCTTTTCGGTGTTTTTTTTAGATGTACATGCAAGAGATTGGCTTGCTGTAAATAATCTTATCTACGTGGGCCTATTCTCTCTATTGCAGTCTTGTGGGGTATGGTTACAAACATGCGTTAATGTGCTGCATTCATTTTAATGGTCTGGCAATGCACAAGAACACACTATAAACATGTGTGCACAATTTTTCTGCAATGCAGAGCACCAGAATGTATGGTAGTACAATACCACACATTACTGTTCACTGCACGGCACCTCAGCACACCAATTACATAATGTGCATTGGCACACATTATGCAATAGATGGGCACTGTGTGTTTAATGTTTAAAAAACGTGTTTATGTTTATAGTTCAAAATGATATATATGATATATATGATATATGATATATATGTACACGGGGGCAATTGTATTTACTCATTACATGTTCATGCTTTGCTTTATGTTTTTCAATGCTTTTTAAAGTGCTACATAAATGTTGTGCTTTCATTCTTCTTCCCCCCAATGGAAGTGTATGGGTCACTAACCCACATCTGTATGTTGCTTTTAGGCAATGTTGTACAATAGTTGTATTGGCTAGTCCTCACTGCCTCTAGTGGTTATTCTACATATCCCAAGTCATAATAGAAATTACTTTTAGGTTAGCACTGCAGTAAAATATGTGGTCACTGAACAATAATTCATTATTTTATTTATACATAATTTTAATTGATTTTAACATCCGATAAACTTTGTGGTTACTTATTTTTCTAAGGCCTGAATGCAAGTACTTAAGATTTTATTTGCTTCAATTGTCATATGGGTAGAGATAAATTCAAAGAAAAAATGCCCGTGCATGCACTGCAGCTGTCATACAGCTATTGTGAGCTGCAGTAGGCGTTACTTGCCAGTTATAATGAAGTTAGAAAGAATTGTTTCTGTAAAGAAGAAATTCCACATGATCTTTCAAGGTATCCAAAGGCTAGGCACCCTTCCTTAAAGTAGCTCATAGTAAATACATGATGGTGCAAGTTAAGAATTTCTATTAGTGTAGCTATAATGGAGAAAATTCTGTTACAGTGAATGTATAGTGGTTTTGAACATATTTTATTTTTCTTTGCTTCTTATGATCAGTGCTAAGCTCAGTGGCTTAGCGGTTAGCACTGCTGCAGCACTGGGTGTCCCAATCTTGAATGCTTGACAGGACACTATCTGCAAGGAGTTTGCATGTTCTCTCTGCGCTTGCTTGGGTTTCCTCCCACACTCCAAAGACATGCTGGAAGCTTAATTGGTGCCTGTCTAAATTGGCCCTGTATGTGTGTACAATAGGGACCATAGATTGTAAGATTCTTAAGGGCAGGGACTGATGTGAATGTGGAGCATGTAAAAGCGCTACGTAAATTGTGAGTGCTATATAAATACCTATAATAAATTAAGTGTTTATTTTAGTCAGATAAATATGAAAGAGTGTGGCTTTAAAGCAACCTTACAAGTAAAAAAATGTTTTTTTGTTTTTTTTAATTGTACTAATTTATCCCCTTTAGCTTGAGCTGGTCATACACCTTACGATTATCTGCAGATTTTCTGTGGTCAGATGGAAAAGGTGCAACAGATTCCTCCATCTACACTTAAATGTGTGAATGGAATAATCTCCACCTGGGCCAATCTGTTGCACTTTTTCCATCTGACCACAGAAAATCTGCAGATAATTGTAAGGTGTATGGGCACCTTAACCCTAATCAGCCCTCTACCACTCCCCTTTAGCTAATATTTTGCAGTTGAGTTTAAATTTTTGTATTTTACAATTTATATTAAAACTTTTTTTTAATTTTCATTTGTTTTGTCATTTTGTCATTCAGGACAAATTGTAAAAATAAAATGAGCACTTTTGTTCTAGAGTAGCACTAGCTGTGGTAAAACTATCACTGGGAAAACTAGAAAAGGACATTTTTTGTTTTGTTAGGTCTTTTTGACTGTAGAATGCACAGAAAACATAATAATTTGCCAGACAATATTGGCCAAAACATTTTGTTTGTCCCAAAAAAGTATGTATTATTTTAGCATAAATATTTTAAAAAGTTAAAGTGACATTAAAGTCCAAAAAATGTTTCCCTCCCCCCAATGTTAATTAAAGCACTTACCTTAAATGATGTTTCTTAATCCGATCTTCCTCTTACACTTTTTGCATATATCTACTGCTTGCTAACAGTAGATATATGCAAAAAAAAAAAAAAACAGAGGGTTTAATAACCCTTTAAGAATTATTAGATCTATAGCTAAAATTTAAAAATTGCCTTGGTCATAAAGGATATATAGGTGCGGGTACAGCTCAAGCACCTTTTACTGCAGGCTAAGTGTGCATGATTAACTGATTAATAGCTTTAGACTAAAAAACTATCGAGCAATAATGTTAAAGGATAAGTTCACCTTTTGCAAACATTAAAGAAATGCATAATTAATAATATATAAAATATATGCATTTCTTTAATATTTGCATTCAAGCCTGCAAAGCATTGCAATTGTGATCACTCGATCACAGCTGCAAAGCTCAGACTTCTGCACATTTTCAAACTGGCAGAGCTCATATGGAGGTACGGAGTTTCAGTTAGGAGAAATGGGGGGAAGGACAGCTGGACTTCAAACTGCATTAAATCACCTGATACGGCATCCAGCCGTCCTCTCTTTAGGTAGAGCTGCCCATATTCCCTGCATTTTTTTAAATATTATTAATTATGCATTTCTTTAATTTTTGCAAAAGGTGAACTTATCGATTAATAGGTAGGAAATATATGTAATTCTAATTATATCTACTGTGGCAGTGTTTAGTTTTGTTTTATGATGGAACAGACATCATGGGAGGGAGGGTTTATGAACAAATTTGAGAACCATCATGTTTTTACCAATGAGATGTTTACCCAGCACTGTGTGGTATGGTGTGGTGGTGCTTTATTGATGACATTTTCACAATTTGGTGGATGATTGGATCCCTAACCACCTTCTATGTAAATATGGTTCTGACGCTTTAGTACAGTATTTGTGCTTGGGGAAATGATAGATATGTGGTGGTTCTGAACCAGTAGAAGTAGGAATGGGTTTTGATGTAAATTTGAAAAATAGGGGATGTACTCCTTGAGGAAATCAAACATCAATTAGCAGATGAAGTCCTTACTGCAAACTGGTCATGCTGAGACTCCGAGCTCATCCAGCCATAATTCAGGCTACAAAAAACAGTGCTTCCTGATTTCATTACATATTGTTGCTCAAGGCTTAAAAAAGGGGTGTCTAATTCCCCTGAAAGCATTCGTTGTATATGAAATTTTCATCTAAATAAACAACCTGCAGGATGTTTGCTCACATATTTACACAACTGTCAGATAAGAATCAGTTTTTAAAGTTTGATAGTATCCACCCACCACATGTGTTCAGGTCACTTGTGAAAAATCAGTTTTGAAAAGTAAATTGGATTGTGAGTGACATGGATAGGCGAACCCGTAGGTTTATAGAAATGATATGTACATTTAAGGAATGGTATTATCCAGAGGAATTGTTGCAGGCTGAGATCCAATATGTCACATGGATGAATTAGTCATGTAGATGTCAGAAAGTTCCGGAAGAGGAAGAAAAGTAAATTAATTCCTTTTTCTATACAGTTTGCAGAGCTGTGTGCTGATGTGATTTTTAGTGAAGGAGGTAAAGGTCCGTTTTAAATGTTTATTGCAAAACAAAGAAACAAATATTGAATGTGTATACACATATACATAAATACATATTTATATATTTATAAATATATATATTTACACACACATATATAAAAGATAATTTTGAAAACATACATGTATACATTTAAAAATAAGAAAAACTGTTTTATAGTTTACTTTTGAAACAAAAATATTTTGACTTTTTAAGAACATTAGGAAGTCTTTTTTATTCATACATTTATGCAAGTATTATGAGATCATTGTAAATAACCATATACATGTACATTGCTGCAGAAATATTTTCTCATTATATTAGCAAGTTATGCTTCCTGTTTAGTAAACCTGAGATGCAAATGTTTGGTGTTCCTCTTTCTCAGTACACATCTTCCTGTTTGAACAGTAGACCCTCTAAGTGGCTATTGTTTTTTTTGTTCTAGCAGTCAGTGTCACATCAAAAATTACGTTTAGATAAACTAATTTAAAACACATGCACCAGAAAGATACAACTGCAGTAAATATTTGGTGAATGTTGTAAAAATTTGATCCCAAATGTATATTTATGATAGTTTCTATTGTATACTTTTTACTTTTTTAAAGGGGAACTATGGGGTTAGGGCTTTTCCCCATAGTTCTCCTTAGGGTAACGGGAGGACACCAACTAGCGTCCTCCCGTCACCCTAGGCTCAGTATACTGCGAGCTGTAGCTCGCGGTATA